TCAGCCTATAGATTATACACTGTTGTTCCGAGATTGTTAAATCTCATTGAACAATTGACCAATGGATATGTTAGATTTAATCGCAAGAGGTTGAAGGGCGAGAATGGTCCAGAAGATACCATAAATGCATTAAATACGTTATTTGAAGTCTTGTTGACATTATGCCGTGTTATGGTAAAAAAGAAAAAAAAAATACATTTTTTGAAACAATACTTGATGAATTTTGGGTGTTACATATGTCCTAAAGTTAAATTCGAATAGGCTTCTTTTACCCCCTTCCTCACGGAACATATTTACCAAAGCCTAAAAAAATATCTACCGTCATCTGATTCCAATGAAGACGTTCGTTCTGTTCACTTTTTATCTTTTCCAGAAGTGAGGAATGAATATTTTGATTCTGATATTGAACGTCGCATGTCACGCATGCAAGCAGTTATTGACTTGGGTAGAATTATTCGCGAAAAAAAAACTATTGGGTTAAAGGTTTGTTCAATATATATTTAATATAAATTGATTTTTTTTTTTTTCTTTCAATTTAGGATGACATGTTTAATCATTTGATTTTATTGTTCTCAGACACCTTTGAAAGAACTTGTTGTGATACATTTAGATTCACAATATCTTTCGGACGTTTTGTCACTTGAAAATTATATCGTTGAAGTACGTTCTGTGCATTTCTAAACTGCTTTGTAAATGTAAATTTCGATAATTATTTAAAAATAATATTTTGTTTTAACTAGGAACTAAATATCAAAAATCTCCTTGTTACATCAGATGAAAGTAAATACGGCATTAAATACCGAGCAGAGGCTGATTGGAAAGTGTTAGGTCAAAAACTTAAAAAAGACGCCGTTAAAGTAAAAAATGCTCTACCCAAATTGACTTCTGAACAAGTCAAAGATTTCGTACACAATAAGGAGATTTTGATTGATGGAATTAAAGTGGTCGAAGAAGACCTTCAAGTAGTAAGGTATTTCGAGGATACTAATAGTCATTATGAAACAAGTACCGATAAGGATGTCCTTATACTTTTGGACGTCAAAATATACGATGATTTGCAAGAGGAAGGATTGGCTCGTGAAGTTGTGAATCGTGTTCAAAGGTTACGAAAAAAGGTGAACAAACTTTTACAAATATTCTTGAATGTAGTTCTATTACTCACATTTATATTTGCATCAATTATATTATTAGGCAGGATTACAACCTACGGATCCGGTATTAACATACTATAAATTTATCAAGGATGTCAATAATCAAATAGAAACTATTATTAAGACACAAAATGACATTATTGTCAAGACTTTAAAACGTTCACTGTTACCAATTGCGGACAAAATTGATGGAGCTGAAGTCATCATCGAGGAAGAGCAAGAGGTCATTATTATACTTTTTATAATTTACGTAAATATATTAAACATATTTTAACAGTCATCTGAATTGTATACTTCTATACTCTAGGTCAATGAATCCACATTTTTGTTATGTTTAGTTAAAGATTGGTAAAATAAAATAAAATAATAATAATAATACAGTAATAATAATAATAATACGAGTCTTGACTTCTATATAATTTAAGAAAAAAATGTATGTATCGCACCATGCGACACAATTATATATAGGACAGGTTTAACGTGAGATCAAAACAATAAAAAAAAAAAAGGTTTACTTTGTTTTAATTAGGGTTAGGGCAAGTTCAGTTTCGGGTTAGAGTGAGGCATAGTTTATATCAAAATTTTGCGAGGAATTTTTTTTGATAGAACATGAAAGGCTGTTTCCTATGTAAATTTTTGAGGTATTGGTGATTTTTTTTAAAAAGTACAGTACAGTTTTTTGTATTCTTTACGTTACATCTGGTCTTGGAATTTGATTGGTTGGGCTACAAATAAGAGTATCGCACTGTGCGATATATAGATAACTCCATAATTTTAATACCATATACAACGCGGACTATATACGATACATTCCACAGCCAAAATCCAAGTTAGTACCCGGGTATTATACAGGAGGTGTATTTTACATAGAACGATATAAGCTACATAGTTAATTTTATAAACTATGGTCCGCGCTGTACGCTGTCAGTTTTGTGACCATACAATATTGATGGGATGAAGTTACACATTGCAAATCATTTCTAATATAACTAAATATGGTATGGCTATGCGTGGTGCAAATTGAAGCCATGGAGATAATGTAAATTAGCGTTAGCCAAATTAAAAAATATATATATTGATATCAATATCACAATAGACGGATATAGTCAAGATAATTTCTTCATGGAAATACACACCTTATGCTTCACCTGCCGTGGCGAAGTTAATTAATATTTAATATTAATAATAAAAAACAATGTTTAAACGGTCACAAACGGCCATTTCTAAACATATAAATAAGGGCATCTAAAGGATAATGAATCAGTGAGAACCTTAATTAATAAAAGTTTAGTTTTAAGAGTCATTCATATGATATAATTTATTGTTAGTAAAATTTTATCATTACCGTTAAGCATCAGCATGGAGTTTTGAATACGTATAACGGAGTTACAGCAAAATACTCCGGATTTGGTAGCTAAGCCACTGATCATAGAAAATAGAAAGACAATGCACAGTAATTTCTGATTTGCTAGTTTAAGTACGTAATTTAGGTACGTACGTACGCACTTACAATCATCTGCTTCAAGGCGCAGTTTTATAGACAACAGTTTCGCTTTCGAAAAGGTCCGATCATAACCAAAATAATTTTGGTTATTCTCTGAGTATCTACTTCGCTTAGACACGTAATAAAGTTTATGACTTTTTTTGTACCTGAAATCATATAACTGAAGGTATGAAAAACTTCTATCAAAATTTAAATATTTTAACTAAGCGTAAAATCATGAAAATATAATTTATACAAGGGGTAATTTTCCCTTTGAATTTATTTTTTACATAGTTAACATAGTTATTAAATTGGTTTTAATCATAAACTGTAAAAAGTTAATTATATAAAAGAAAATGCCAAGTCAAGAACATAATCTGGTCGGAGAAAGGCAAGCAGCCACTCAAGGTGTACCAGATCTTGATAGCCTCGTACCTGATTCCGTGTCTAATCATAAAAAAGATGCAGAGTTTTCTGAATCCAGAATTACAGCGGTAAATATTGTTTAAACCATTTATAATTTTATATTTTATTCATTATTTATCATAATTTAATATTCCTTGATAATTTTCTTCACAATATCATTGTTTTTCATCTAATTTTCATACTAAATACATCAGGAAGAGAAAAATGACAATGCATCTCAAAAAGATACACCAATTAAAAACCAATATAATCTAACATATCCATTGGTCAATTGTTCAATGAGATTTAACAATCTCGGAACAACAGTGTATAATCTATAGGCTGA